AGAGAGAGCTTGAAGTTGTTCTGGTGTGAAGTCGGGAAAAACAGAGGAGTTGGAGCTAGTTGCGTGTGCAGCAAGAGCTTGACCTCGTCCGCGACCATTACCGGTTGAACCACGACCACCGCGACCACGGCCACCGGAACCACGACCACCGTTATTCTTTTCAGCTCGCTCAATCCACCAGTCCGGGAAGCCGACGAGCTGCCAACATCCTTGTTTCTCGTGACTGGTACGACCACAATGAGAGCAGGTGACACGACCTTTTCCTACAACCGAATCGGATTTGTTTACCTCGGAACGAGCAAGAAAGCCCACAGCCTCCTCCTTTTGTTCACGGAGTCGACCAGAAGCCAACCGTTGCTCTTCTCTAATAACACGACTATAAGTCTCTTCAAGAGAAGGAAGAGGATCCAAGGCAATCAAAGAAGAACATAGACTACCAAATCGAGACTCATCAAGATTTAAGACGAACTGATGCACCTTTTCGTTTTCCCAGTCCTTTGATGGAGCCGACGTTGCTCCACAAGTACACAAGCCACAAGAACACACGGTGATAGGCTTGTAGATTAAATATTCCTCCCACAAGGAAGATAATCTGCCAAAATACTCATCCACGGGCTGACCATCCTGTCGACACGTCGCGATTTGAGCTTTGAGTTGATGAAGACGAACATTGTTTCCAACAGAGAAACGTTGCTTCAAGGCATTCCACAATTGATGAGCATTAGCGATGAACGTGACAGTGGATTTCACCTTGGAGTCAATGGAAGTCCTAATCCAACCAACGATCATGGAGTTAACTGTCATCCAATCTTCGAACTTCGAATCGTTAGGAGGTGGTTTAGGAATTGAACCGTTGATGAAACCAGTTTTGCGTTTAGCTTGGAGTGCGTTCTTCATCTCTGTTGCCCATTCATTATAATTGGGACCGGTTAACACAACCGATGAGATCATAGCCCCTGGATTGTCGGAGCTTGACAAGGTATAAGGAGACACCACTGATGTATCCGGTGGCTGCACTGCAGGACGTGACGATGATGAATCTTCAAGAGACATCGTTACTTGTCACACAAGAAAGAAAATTTTGAACAAAGAACAGAAATTTTGAAGTTGTTTTTAGTTAGATCTTTAGCTCTGATACCATGTAGAATTAGATATCGAACCAACTTGACTTTATTGATGTATGAACTTGTGTATTTATACAAGAGATATGACCTCTAAAATAAGCCCTAATCCTATACACTTTCGGGCTGCTAATCCTTATCACAATAAGAAGATAAACATAACATAATATACGAACTTATCCTCAATACATTTCAACTTGAAGAGTAACTTCCATGGTAATAAGTTAAAATTCATGACTTATGAAATTTAAGAAAGTGGGATTTGCTAAAAATAGATGAAGGTTGAACATTTTCTGAGAATTGTGATCAGATAAATTGACTTTTCTGCTCTGTTCACATCATCTTGATTGATTTGATCATTCTTTGTGGCATGTTAATAAATAACAATCACATGTACAAATTGATAAATGTAGCGTATACTATTTGATAGTATAACGTACATATGTTCATAACATGACATTTTTAATTATATGGTTTAAGCTTTGAGCGTGTTAGTTTCGAGAAAATATAACTAATTTCAGTTTTAACTAGTTTACACAAAAAGAACTCAATATCATTGGTGTGGAAAGTTTGCAATTTCATAGACAAAGTGAAGATGTACATCGTCATGGACTCAATTGACTAGATATATTTTTCGTGAAAGACTCAAAGTCTCAAAGATTCATTATCATTTTGAATGAATTTTCTAACTTTTAATTATGTTTGGATTAACTGATAATACGATCTGTAAACAACAGTTAATGAATTCATACTCATACATATAACTTGGTTTAAATATAAGTATATAATAGATCTAGTAGTTTGATCATACAAATACTTGTTAATATTATGGATATTTCAAATATAAGTTGCAAGTCGAATTAACCACATAGCAACGATTACTGAAGATATAATTAATCATCTTCTTCCCCTCTTCGGCGTTGATTAGGTATGCTCCAACAGATAACCTCGAGGCGCATGTGTCCTGGTTTCCCATCCATTGTCTTCCGTACAACTCCCCTATAATTGGCCTCCTTACCTGTCACTGGATCATTTCGACATCCAAAACTTACGTAGAAGATTGCATTAGCCGCCTTGAGCTTCTCACACGGCTCTGTTTCAGCTTGATCTCCTCGAGTTTCCACAACAACCTTTTGAATCTCCAATGGTAGGCATTCCGCAATATCGTCCGGGGTAAAAAAAATTTTAAAAAATGAGGAAAAGATTACATAGGGTAGTTGGTCATTATTTCTCCAAGAGTGTGGTTCTTCACCACGTTCCTTTCGCAACTACATCAAAATGAACACCAAAATTAGTTGCAAAACATATGTAGGATTATAGTTACAAAACATATGCAAAACATATGTAGGATTTTAAAAAAATCAGCCAAACATGCATTATCGAATTATCAAGAAAATATATCAGAAAGGCACCATGTCACGTATTCGGGCAAACTCAGGATCATCGATAGATACTCCACCAGCCTTCTCCACACTTCTCTTCATCTCTGATCCAACGATTTCGAACTCTAATTTTCTTAAGTTATTTTGAATAAGACTTAAGATGATATTGGTTTATGATTTACAGTATATAGTGTTTTAGTTACGCAAAATCCATTGTTATTAAATCTAGATTTTGTTAAATTCTGTTAAAGGTTTTTGTTAGTAAATTATTAATTTCTAAAAATTTCATCTAAAAATCTTTATAAATTAAATTAATTATTATAAAATTATGAAAGTATCATTAAAATAAAGAGATTGTTTATGAGACATTTCAAGATTAGAGAAATTTTCTTTAACATTTGTTTAGAATTATTTATTTTCTATAATTTTATTAAAGCTATGAAAAGTCTTTTGTAGAATAGAATCCAATCTCTTATAATAAGATAGGCGTTTAAGTAAGAGGAGTGAAAAAGGAAAAAGAGAAACATATGGTATGAATTAATGATGAATACAAAAATTAATTACGAACCAATTATTGTGAGATATTTTTCTTTGAGATATTTTAAGTTTAATTGGGGGTTAATTATGGCGGAAACATCATCAAAGTCCTTTTAGGAGAGTTGATGCGTAAGCGAAGGGAAAAACGAAAGGCAGAACAAGAGATATGGGGTGGTGATGATGTTCCATCCGCTCCCCACGGCCTGCAGCTGGATTCTGACTTGCACTGGATCAATCAACTTCTACGTAACTTTAAAAATGTTGTGGAGTCGACTTAATTAGATTCCAAAACAATGATACTAAAATTGCGGTCAGGTGTACTTCAAACAATGATACTAAAATCGTGATCAACTGTCCAAAACAACCGGTTGCATAAAAGAGGTATATTCAGTTGAATCTACCAGCCAATCAAAATGTAGAGTTTAGTCAAAACAATATTCCCACGTATATGATAATTAGGATGATACTTGTCACTTTTCATACACCACTTAGCACTTGTCGTAATCTGAAACTTCTCCTTGACACATTTCATCATCATTATCATCCACCTCACTGTTCTCATGTGACTCCTTCAGTTCCGTCCGCCACTGCATCAAAAATCAAACTCCACAAATTATTAGAACCGAGAACAGTGACTCCACAAACTATAGTTCTTATTTCTTTGTGGCATGTTATAAATGAAAAATCACATATGTGCAAATTACTAATATATGATACCATTCGAAAATAAAATGTGAGCTCGTTTTCAGCATGTGGTACTTAAGAAAAAATAATATCATATGACATGGTTTAGACTTTGAATGTTATGAGTTTTATTTTTCAAGAAACTCATGTAAATGATGTTAAACTGGTCTACCCAAAGCACCCATAATTGTAAGGACGTTTCAATTTCGAATAAATAGTTAAGCTCGATGTATACATATCATGGACTTCAGTATTTTTGGATATATTCCTTGTCACAGTCTCACACAGTATGAAATCAATTTACTTACCGTTTTATGAAATTTATATACTCAATCTTTATTTTGTTTTTCTATCCATCACCATGAAAATGTGACTAACTAAACTAAAAAAAAAAATCAATCCTTTACTAATATAATTTTGGACATGTTACTTTACGAATAAATAGGTTGCGTATGTGATTAATTTCTTTTTTATCTACATTACTAGTCCACCCATCGAAAATGTTACTAATTAAGAGTTAGAGACAACTGAACCATAATTTTTCCACCACTCTTCATTACCTAACTCTATAGTAAACAAGAAAATAACCCTAACTATTTATTCAAAAAGATGGTTTATCAGTGCTTGGTTATCCAAACCATCAATATCACCTTTTAATCTTGGTTGCGTAAGTCAAAATCCACCATATTAACTTTTAATTCATCTATATTGCTATTCAAACCATCAAAATGTTTGTAATTACGAGTTAAGGACTATTGGGCAATATTTTACCACCATTCATTACATTAATTTCTTACTAAATTATAAAAATTGACCCTAACTAATTTGCATAAAAAGAGATTTCATAAGTCTTAGATAGTCACAATCAAACTTTTTTTTTTTGTTATGTTGTAGTGGATAGGTTGCGTATGGAATAATGTAAATTAAACACAGATGTTAAAAAGTACTTTCACAAGAAGCGCACAGACGCAACGCACCTCTATAAATAGGGAAGGAGACGCTTCTCCACTTCACATCTCATTATTTCCCAATCTCTCTCCTTAACATAATAGATTTCTCAAAAACACGATCTGAAATCAAAGAGAGGAAAATGGCACAAGAGAACAAGTTCGTTTACACTCCCAGCGAAGCAGCAGAAGTAGGCATCCACGGCCCCAAAGACCTTCCAAAGCTGATGGACAAGGCCATGTCACTCGCTCTGGTTCCAGTCTCCAAATTCGGTGTCGGCGTCGTTGGACTCACATCAAAGGGTGAGGTCTACATAGGCGTCAATGTCGAACTACCAGGTCTTCCTCTTCACAACTCCATCCACGGTGAGCAATTCCTCGTCACCAACCTCGCTCTCAACTCCGTGGAAGAGCTCACTCACATAGCCGTCTCCGCTACCGGCTCCATCTTCGGTGCGCCATGTGGCCACTGCCGCCAGTTTTATCAAGAATTGGGCACCCCGCCTGCTGTCAAAATCCTGATCAAAAAACCAGAAGACGGCATAGACGAGTTCGTGAGCCTGGAGAGCCTCATGCCGGAGAGATTCGGCCCTGATAGTCTCCTCCCGGCAGGTTCTCCTCTCCTTCTTGCGCAGCGCGATAACAGACTCGTCCTCTTGGACAACTCTGAAGAGATCTGCTCAGATCGAGAGGATTGTTCCCATCCAAAGTGCAAGGCTCTAGCAGCGGCGAACAGATCGTACGCGCCGTACAGCAAATGTCCGTCGGGAGTGGCGCTGAAGTGCGGTGATGAAGTGTACAGAGGATGGTACATTGAATCTGTTGCGTATAACCCAAGTTTAGGGCCAGTTCAAGCTGCACTGGTTGATTTCGTGGCTCGTAGCGGAGGCAAAAAGTTCGAGGAGATCACTGAAGCGGTGCTGGTGGAGAAGAAAGATGTGGATGTGAGTCAAGAGGCCATGGCGAAGATTGTCTTGCAGAAGATAGCTCCTGGCTGCGTTTTCAAAGTCCTCCATTGCTACGATACCAAGAAACCAGAATAAATTTGAATCATATTTTCATGATATACAGTATGAAGAGATGATATTATTATGGAAAATAATACGCCAGTAGAGGATTAATTAATACACTGGTCTGCGTTATTAAACTCTTTTATTATCCTGTCTTAACTATTATGAATGTCATCAGTACGATACAATCATAATTATGTTATGTGTTAACCTTTCGATAAAATCAATATAACCCTATAGTTATACACCATGATTTGTTTTCTTTTTGGGTTCATTTTACATTTTAGTACTATTGCCAATGATCTTATATTTTATATAACATTTAAGTACTATTGCCAAGTAATCTTACGATCTTAAATCACATTTCACTTACATATGTCACATTTCAATTTTTTTTTCCATTTTGCATGAATCGCCATTAAAGAGTAAGATAAAAAGTTTCATTTGAAAATATATATATCAAAGTAGAGAATAATGTGGTCAAATTACCACTGACATATTTTTTTACAAAGTGGACAATTGAGGAACAGTAAAGTTATCTTAAAACTTTGATTGAATATAATATACATTGCATTTTTCATAAAAGATGGTGCATTACAACTTCTTCCTGAACATCTAAAAGTCGTCCAATTGCAAAAGTACATCATACCATAATTACCATAACAATTAGCAAGCAGAAGATGCCAGGAGATAAGTCTGATCTGCAAAAGTATAAAGATGTATCATTTCAACTTGATCAGTAACCTCCAAGGTAATAAGTTAAAAGTTATGAGGTTCAAGAAAGTGGGATTCGCTCAAAATAGTTAAGGTTGAAATTTTGTTGACAATTTGTGACATAGTGATTTCTCTGTTCTTTTCACGACATCGTGCGTGCGCATGTGATTTTGATCTTAATTTTGTTATTTATGTTCATCATTATTTCTTTGTAGCATGTTATAAATAGTTGTCCATTCATACTTAGCTTCACTTGAAAAATTATTTGAAAACTTAAGAAAAAAACTGATATGGCATAGTCTGAATTTTGAACTTGTCAGTTGTGTTAGATTCTTCTTTGCATTTTTCCCGAAAAAATCATATTTACATAAAATCGTTTTGAGTTTCAAAGACAAACTGAAAAGTGATGTACATTAGTGGATTTTGTTATTATGAAAGATACTTCTTGTTATAGTCTCACACGCTATGCAGTTGATTTAATTATCATTTGATGAAAAAAAAATCTCATAACATGAAAAGTGACTAATTAAAGACTAGTAGTATATAAGTTTTATTTTATTTTCACCATTCTTCAGTAAATTAGTTTCTACAAAATACTAAAGTAATCCTAACTAATAAAAAGCGAATTTGCTTAAGTCATGAGCCATCATCATTAGTCTTGACAACGGATACACTCACAATCTCGTTTATAATTTGTATTATTGCGTGACGTGTGCATGCCTTGCCATTCCTCATCACGTAGAGGTAGGTTAAACACGCTATCTTAAAAAAGCACTATACAACAATACACATACATTCATCACATATCTACTATAATATATAGGATTTTTTTGTTTGTTCCTTTCAATAACTCAAATTAAACACATATTTCGGTATTATATATGTGATCCACCACCAAAATACGAGTAACGACTATGCTATAATCTACCGACATTTGAACAAATTTTACAAATAGATCTCTTAGTTTTTTTCCAATCTATAATTATTTAAACAATCAAAATGTTTCTAACTAAGGACTATTGAGCAATATTAATTAGTTGTGATAGACGTACCCACCATTTTTTAATCTACATTACTATTCAAAAATCAAAACCATCAGATTTTCAAAATGTTTCCAATTAGAAATGTTAAGGTCTTATATTTTACCTCTCTTATTTACATTACTTTATACCAAACTTAATAATCCTAATCAATTTGCTTTAAAAGATGGTAGATAAGTTTTGTTAGTCACAATCACCTTTTTTTTTTACAAGTGGTTACGTATGTGATTGACGTAAACACCATTTTAAGTTTTGTATTTATTACAATTCAAACCATCAAATTGTTATTAATTAATTACGAGTTAAGGAATATTGAACGAATATATTACCACTCTTAATTTAATATTTTACTAAACTACAAAAATAACCCCAAGTACGTTGCTTATAAAGTTATTTAATGAGTTTGGAGTGTCATTGTCACCTATTAGTCTTATAGTGTAGGTTTTGTATGCTAATGACGTAAACACGATTTTAAAAAGTACCTTTTAAAAAATCACAAAGTCACGACACATCTAGTATATAAATAGCTTAAAGACTTCCTTCCACTTCTCATTTCATTACCAATCTCTTAACATAAAATCTTAAACACGATCAGAAATCAGACAGATACAATGGCCTCACAACAAAACAAGTTCGTTTACACAACCGAACGAGCCGCATCCGAAGGCGTCACCGACCACAAGAAACTCCCGAAGCTAATCGAAACGGCAAGGAATCTCGCTATGGCTCCAATAAAAGCCGGAGCTGTGGGACTCGCATCATCCGGTCGGGTCTACTTAGGGGCCAATGTCGATTTTGAAGGCCTTTCCATCCACGCTGAGCAATTCATTATCGCCAACCTTGCCCTCAACTCCGAGCCAGAACTCACTCACTTGGTCGTCTCCGATGATGGCACAGTCTTCCGTGGGCCGTGCGACCGCTGCAGCCTGTTTCTTCAGGAGATCGACAATGCAGCTCAAATCGAAGTTCTAATCAAAAACGTAAACGAAGAAGACGGATCATTCAAGAGCCTCGAGAGCCACATGCCAGACAAATTCGGCCCCGACAGTATCCTTCCGGCAGAAGTCTCTCTCCTTATGCCGCGCGATAACCGTCTCGCTCTCTTCAATCACGATTCCTCCAGAAGGATCTGCTCAAATCAGAAACGTTGTTCACACCTGAAGTGCATGGCTCTAAAGGTGGCTCTAAAGGCGGCGAACAAATCATATGCGCCACACACCGAGTGTCCGTCAGGGGTGGCACTGATTTGCGAAGGGGACGTGTATGAAGGATGGTGCATCGAAACGGTGGCGTGTAACCTTAGCTTGGGGCCAGTACAAGCTGCATTGGTTGATTTCTTGGCTCGTGGAAAAGGCAAGGGGTTCGATAAGATCACCGGAGCTGTGCTAGTGGAGAAGAAGGGTGCGAAGGTGAGTCAAGAAGACATATCGACGATGCTCTTAAAGAAGATAGCAGCTCCAAACTGCGATTTCAGTGTCTTCCATTGCTACGAGCTGCCCAAAGAGAACACTTGGGATATCATGTAAAAAAGCTGCTGATGCATATTTTATATTCATACGAATATACGATGATATATAGATAAATGATGCATTATTGTGATAGATGTAGTAAATTACAATAAATAATAAGGAAACGAATAAGCCAATAGTGGAAATAATACATTCGTCTTGGTTACTAAACCTACTATAATAATAATAATCTAATTTCATCATAATTATGTTTCGTTTTCTTCTTTTTTTTTGCTGGGTCCATGTTACCTTTTAATAATATCAATGCAATATTCTTACGAACTCGAATCACTTTGCAATAATATATGTCACCTTCCGAATAATTTTGTACGTGAATTGCTTCTCTTCTAAAATGTGAACTTTTAATTGTGTGAGTTTTTTTTTATTAAACTTAATTTTTTCACAAAAAAAAAAATCATATATATTAAGTTTAAAATGTTCCACCCAAAGACCCCATTGGTTAGGAAGTTTATAATTTCAAGCACACAGTGAAAATCCATGCATATCATAGACTTGATTACTATTATTTATTTTGCTGGTCACAGTCTCGCACACAATGTATTCAACTTAAAGTAATTATCATTTTGTGAAAAAAAAATCTAAATTTTTTGATTGAATTATTTTAACGACACTCGATTACTTTGTACAAAACTACTAAAGTAATCCTAATAAAGCATAATGGTTCATGATGACTAATGAGTCATCCCGAGTCTTGATGACGGATACATTCACAAACTCGTTTAAATTTTGTAATCTTTTGTGTGCATGAGATTAATTACGTAAAAAGTAAACACGCCATTTAAAAAGTATTCAACATGCACACACATTACATTTGGAGTCATAGTTAGTTTGAAAATTTCAAAGAAAAAGGAATGGTTTATGTATGTATATATATATTTATCGTCTTAATTATCATAAATAACTCAATTAATACACGTCCTATAGTATTATCATAGGAATTTGTGTTATTTAATTTGTTGCAGGAATATATTACAATCTACCGCCGACAATTGAACGATCATTTTACGAATATAAATATTTTTTAATTAAAAAATCTGTATTACTATTTAAATTTTCAAACCATCAAAATATTACTGCTAAGACTACTTATTTTACTTACTATTATGTTTTCACCACATTTGTTTTATATTAAACCACAAAAAAAAAACTAAAAAAAGTCTCAATTGCAAATATGTCAAAGAATAATGTGGTCCACGCACAATTGTGGAACAATAGTACTATAGCAGAAATTCAGAAGAGCTGGAATTTCATTTAACAACAATAGTAAAATGCAAATTCAATAAAAGATGCTATTTGTTTCTGAATCCCTAAAAATATATTAAATCAAAAAAATAAAATTAAGTATAAAGCTGTATCATTTCCCTTAGATCAATAAAATTAACAACTAGCAATGGAAGCGTAGTCTAAATACAAAAGGCCCAAATACAATCTTACCACAAAAAAGGCCCAGATACAAACAAAACAATAAGGCTGTATCATTTTAACCTGAGCTGTAGTAACTAATAAGTCTGTAATAACCCACTAAACCCCTCCATGGTAAAAAAGTTCAAAGTTCTGATGTTCGAGAATCGAGAGAGTGGGATTTGCTAAAAATAGGTAAAGGTTTAAAAACTGAGACATACAAGTAATTTTTGCTGTTCTGTTCACATCATTGTAGACTAATAAATTTCTCAACCAAGTTCACTGTCAACCACTAGCTCTAACTCTAATCACGCAAGTTAAGATCAACATGGCGAAACAAATGTTATTGATTATTACTAAGACAGTCTTTAAGTAAGACTATTCAGTTGGGTGTGTTCATACCACTCCACCAACATTATTTCTTAGTACTCAACTAATAAAACATTTCCAACCAACCACCTTGCTCCCCAAACAAATTTGGTCATGAGTCTTGATAAATAATATTAACTACTCTGCTTTGAAAACTGGTTCATCAGTCATTAGTCCTTCCATGAGAAAAAAATAAAAAAATGAAAGGACTAGATATAGTTTGAGGCTGTACTCGAGGAAAACTGAGGAACTTACATGTAATCATATCTGATATCATCTGTTACTGGTGAAACAAAGGATTTTGCTAATTTGTCATCAAGAACCAGCTGTTATAAGCTAAGGAGCTGCAAGAAGATATATATAAGCAAAGAAAAAAAAAACATCTTCTTATTAGAAACCTGATCTTGTTACTTTATAATATTCCAAAATCCCACATTGAAAGCAGCACCACATCTGCATGTCCTGTTTTAAGCAGCAGAACAACTTCATCTAGAACAACTTCAACTTCATGGGCTACATAGCATCATTAATAACCGGTTTCATGCCTTGTCAAGCATGAATCATCCTAAAGTTGAGAAGCACACTTGACATGTGAGCTTGTTTCTGCATTGTAAGGCTTTGAAATCTTCCCCTCTGCATCAATCCAACTGTAGCATGAAAACTAATACTGATAGACTTGCCATCTTCACTAACAATGAGCTGATGTTTGATCAGTATGTTTGATTTTCACTTGTTTTTAAACTTGAATCTCCAGGTTTTGAAGCATTTTCTCTGCTTCCTTATACTTGGTTGTCTTCTAAAACTGTGAGCAAATAGCTGGTGTGCACAAGCAGGCTGCAATATACCAGTTGGGAGAACTGTGACAACTTCTCCATTAGACAAGTTCTGAGGCTGCATCTCATACACCTTTTCCTGCATTTCTTGTTTTAAACCACCCATAAAAACCCCTTGCAGCCTATCATCATCTAACCCCGTGACTTGAGCAGATAATTCTTCGAATCTTTGCACATACCCAGCAATTGTACCCTTCTGTTTGATGCAATACAAGCTGAGTCTTGGACCTGTAACTCTCACATTGTCAAATCTGATAAGCAATCTATCTTTAAAGTGAAGCCAATTTTGAAATGGCAACCTATTTATCTCCCCAGGGTACCAGTCCAAGGCAACACTCGTCTCCTGTTTACAGAGTAAAGTAACATAAGCTCACACTAAAAACAAAACAAGAAGAATAATCTTATTCTAACATAAAACAGTGTAAGAAACACATTGGCAAGAATCCAAATCCTACAGAACAAAAGGATTAATCATTTCATTTACTTCAACTTCTTATAGATTCATTAGACACCAATCAAGACATAATAAAAGCTTCGTTGAAAGACCTCATGAGTCATGAACACTCCTATGGAGAAGATTCTCAACTCAAGTATATATTTTTTTTTCTTGAACACAAAATCTTGTAACAGTAATCAAACAACCCTCAAATTCGCAGATTATTGATACACACTTATAATGTACATATTATCATCAACAATGAAGCATTGATCCAATTTCATCACATTTTGAACCCTAGCATTGCCAATCAGCAAGAACCCACAAATCTAACAACAATCTCCCGGGACTACTACGAAGCTTACCTTGTACAGCTGCTCCGTAACTGCAGCGCCGATGACGCCGGTGTAAAAGGCGGCGACATAGATAGTAATCAAAGCCGTGAAGGTTTTTGGCCGACGGTAAGGTTCGATCATTTCCCAAAACAGCAAATCTCTCGATCTTTTTGTATTTCCTCCATAGTTGGCTCCACACTCCTCCTTGCATCTCTCAAACCTTCGCCGAATTTTGGATTTAGCTGTTTTGCTGCTGAGAAAAATCTGAAATCAAAAGGGAAAGACTTTAAAAGTTAAAACGTTTACCAAACAGTCCTCATATTCCTACAAGTCTTAGTTTTCAGTGCTTAACTTATCTAGAGACACTAAATTAATGAGCTCAGATTTTGTAAACTACAAGTTAGTAGCATATGATTCTTGCACATCTGTAATCATCGTGTTTTCATCACAACACATGATTCTTGTAACTATTGTGCTATCACCATTTTGTCAACGAACTTTTGTATTTGTTATTCACTATCCTTCATTAAATTGAGAAACTTCAGAGATTTACCCCAACCAATACTATGCAAATCAGAGTTATAATCAATAAGATTGCTTCAAAGCAATAAAGACCAGACTAGCGAGGAAGTACTCTCACCTTCAGACTCTTGCACATTGGTTTATTCTCATCAAAGTTTACTTTGAGGAACACTATATCAGGATGTTCCACCGCTGTCTTTCAAACCTGAAAAGATTTAAAAAAAAAAGACACAAGAAACATTTCAATTTAAGTCAGAATCACACAAGAGAAATGAAACTCGTATAACTTCATCGAACAGATAAGTCACAGAGGTAAATATGGCAACTAACCTTTGGGAACAATGCTCTGCAAGAAGTACACCAAGTTCCATAGAACTCTACAATGAATCTTTCGCGCTCAAGAATTCTTCAGTAGAATGAATATCAACCATGTTTGGAGCATTCCTCTCCCACCATTTTGGTGGCTCTGCCTCTGCTACATTTTCATCTACCTAAACCACAAACACAAATCAGAAACTTAGATTATGGCTGAAAGCATCACCATCTACCTGAATCAATTCATAGCATCACAGTCTCTATAGAAAAACTGAAACTTTAGTGTGATTGCAGGTGGAAAATCAAGTAGAGAGTTTCAATGCTGAAACAAAGTGTGATCGCAGGTTTTTTTAGAGAATGGATAAGAAGAAATATAAGCTTACAAGCAGCACAAACTAAAGAACATTATACCATAAATTCAATCACAGTAGCTACCTGAGTAAACTGGGAAGCCAATATCTCTTTGCTTGTTCTTCTTATACTCCTCCAAAGTCCAAACTATCACCAAAAACTGAATCATACTACGGTGATGCTGCTGCTGCTTCCCTGTAACTCGCGCTCCTTCCAATCCTTTATCATCTCTGAAATAAATCTATCCTCATCTTTTTCTTCGATCTCACAGGGTTTCCAGTGGACAACAAGCGAGGTAAGAGTAGAGACGACATAGCTCATATCGGGTCTCTGCGCGAGTTCCTTGGCGCAACAATGATTGGCCAGTACAGAAACTTCATCGACGCTGCTGCGGGTCTCGTCGTTGAGCTCTATGGTTTCGTCGATGGCTCTTTCAAAAGATTCTTTGTCGAGAAACACTTTCCTTAACCAACTGGAAATGTGATGATCTGCTTCAGAACGCTTCTCGTCCAAAGCTTGCTGGGCTGTTACTAGCTCCATCAGAATGATCCCGAAACTGTAGACATCAGCTTTTGCAGTCACCCTTCCATACACTGCAATCACAAAGATTTGAGCTGTCAAAAATCAAATATATTGGTGATCAGATATAGATATTGACAGATGAAAGGAGAACCTTACTTGCATATTCTGGTGCTATGTAACCAGGTGTTCCTACACACTTTGTCCTGATAGAATGTCTGCCTTCTTCAGTAGACCGAGCCAAGCCAAAGTCAGACACTTTTGCTCGCATATCATCTCCCAGAAGAATGTTTTCCGGTTTCAGATCTCTGTGTATGTAACTCTGACTATCAAGAGCCAAAGTATGCAGATATTCTACCCCTCTAGCCACATCCAATGCGATAGTAAGCCGTCTAGTCCACTCAAGGGGTTTCAACCCTTCGTCCTTCCAGTGAAAAAGATGCCTACTTAAGCTACCTTGTGGCATGTATCGGTACACCAATAGTCTCTCGTTTCCTTCGAGGCAATAACCCTGTAGAACCACAAGGTTTCTGTGGTAAACCTTTGTCAAAATCTGAACCTCGGATTGGAATTCTTCCAGACCTCTTCTTCCTCCTATCCGTTGCCCCATCCTCTTCACAGCAATCTCGACGTTTCCATTCTGCAGCTTCCCTCTGTACACTGATCCAAAACCGCCCGTCCCAAGCATGTTCTTCTGGGAAAAACCTTCTGTAGCTTCTCTGAGAAGCTGAAATGGAATCACATAACTCTCTGTTTCCATGATCTCATCACCAGATTGCTGCGCATGTGTAACTGTTTCATTCTGAAGTGGAAGATTGTTAGATTGCGTCCTTTTCCTAAACAGATACAATCCAATCGCCACTGCTCCAGAAATCACTAAACCAACGACAATGCCAAGCAAGAGTAAGACAAAAACTGATTTGTTATTGTTCCTTGTTGGTGAAGGAACAAGAACGTGATTTGTCTTCAGGTCCGGATTCCCTTGAGTGTTTGGAACAACGTTCTTAAAATGTGGCATTGGCCCATGGAGTTGGTTATAGGAAAGATCCAGAATTCTCAGTTTCATCAACTTGGTGAGCTCAGGGGGAATCGTGCCTGTCAGATTGTTGTGAGATAGATCAATCGACTGAAGAGAGGTGAGATCTGCGAAGTTTGGGGAGATTTTGCCGGTCATGTTCATGGAAACAAAGAAGATACCCGTGATGACACCATCCTGACAGTTTATACCGAACAATTTACAAGGATCATTTCCTTGCCAACTTTTCACAAATGCCTCTGGATAGCCCAACTGGGCAACAATGGACAGCAATATACCAACTGTGTGATCAGAATCAGGATGAGATCGAGCATTCACTGCTAGTGAAAACCAGAGCAACCAAATCAGATGGTTAAAACAGGTGATCATCTTCAGGATGAAAATAGATTCTTTCTCGACAACACAATCACCACAACAAGCAACACAACACAAAGAACTTTTGGCTTTGGAAATCCTTTTTGAGATTCCTGCAGTTGTGACAGAAAAACCCACAAAGATGCAATAAGAGAAAGCTCAACAAGGAACTCGATGCAATGAAGATTGAAAAATCATTGAAGACAAAGCGTAATATCTGGAGCCTTGCACATAAATCAAGCTTACCGGAAAATCAAAGAGAGACCCCTGATCTGTGTAAAATTCCGTCCGCTAACCGGAGATCTTCTAACTTGATATCGGGGACGATAGTTTTTTGAACCCAAGAATAGATCTATTTACTCTCCGGTGTTTTACTTATCATCTGATATAAACGCGGCGGCACTGGTTCTGTTTTTAAGCGACGGCACAGGCTCTATTTGAATTCTTTTTTCTTTTCTTTTCTTTTGTCTCTCGAGTAGAAATTACTGGTAGGTGCAAAGAAGAAAATTTCTAATCCCGACTAGTGTTTCTTTTTCATTCAAAAAAAGGTGTAAAGCTTATTCGGATTCCTTATATAGTATGTAGACCTAACAAAAAGATTTTTAGATGTCTCTTTCCAAAATTGCAGCCAGATCATATCTATAGTCGCCGGCGAGGCATTAATCGGCCACCGGAGATCTCTTGAATGAAATTGGTTAAACAAGTGTTCTGTGGAGGAGAAAAGAGAAGTGCAGCGGAGGGAACGAACGCTGGAGAAGAGAAGAAAAGGAAAAAGGAGGGAAAAGAAAAGAAATTTTAATTTAATATTTTTAAACCCAAACAAGGAAATAAACCACCTGAGTGACCAGTGCGTGTCTTTCCGGTTCATGAAGATTTTTAAACCACACAAGGAATAATCGTAAAAGCAACTCATGTTGATAAGTTTGTCAATAGGTATAATCCGTCATTAATTAATAATGACTCAATGAAAAAAAAAAAAGAAGAATTGTATATGTCCAGTAAACTAAAAATTAATTAATTTAATCATAGTTAGTTAAAATATTTTTAAACTTCTCATTCTTTCTAAATAATAAGCAAGCTTTACCAGAATGAAGTCTCAATTAACAAACAAACAACAGTGATAATTTCTAACAATACTTCTGAATGGAAGAAATGAAAATTTGAAAATTTTCTTTTGTGAAAAGTGAACGCACAGAGAGAAGAGTTTCGAACTCAAGCGGTCAGGTATTTCGAAGAATAGACCGCACAAAATGTTCAACATAGTTCCAAAAACTTTTATACCCATTTAATAAAGTACACATGTTCATGTCGGGTCGTCTCACAAACGGGTCGGATAGTATATCATCAACACTCCTTTAGTCCTTAGGGATTCCTCCTTTTACTCCTTAGGGTGGGTGGGTGCGGTAAGGCCACACATATCATTCAATTCCCCACCAACATTTTAATCTATATATAGTAATTGTTCTTCACCCAGTATGCTTAAGGAAGGGTGAACTAATCAAGTATGCAGCAATATGACAAAGCTACTTAATGTATATGCTGTTTTACCGAACAGAAATTTGTATTTATCGAGTTAATATAGACTAAGTAACAAAAATACATAAAACATTTTTATAGTTTCATATCCAAAAGTAAGAGAATACATTTAAATGTCAACATATATTATACTATAGTTTTCTCATTGTCATCGTCATCGCCAGAGAAATAACAAAATTGATAGATGTACTGATTTAATCATGTGATCTCTTGTATACAAAAATTTAGACCATCATTATTAACGGGCTCTTAAAAAATTTTAGAGATAAGATTTATTAAGAATTTATCAATAATGATGATCTTAATGATATAACCAATTTTTTTAACGTACACACGACTTTGTAATACTATTCCAAAACTTTTAAAAATAAAATATACTACAATCCTAATTCTTTTATATTTTTAAATCAGGATATTTGTCCCAGAAAATATGACTACATTTATAGTGCAAGATTTTCATGAGATATGATACGATATTTTGCAATCAGTTTTTTTTTTTTAAGTATGTATATAAAATTTATTGTTAAAAACGGTATACTGTTTATACTTTTATAAATTTAAAATGAAGTAGTTACATACATATAAGTTGGTACAGTATAACAAATTTGGTCAGCTTGAGTATATTCACGGTTTCTATAGCCTCATGGGCTGTTTATTGTTAATTGGTTATATTTTGCTTCACTTGGATTTTAAATTTAAATACAGTGTTTAATGATTGATTAATCCGGTTTACGTTGATCAATTTTTGCAACTTTGATTAGGTTCGGTTCAAGGACAAAGCAATTTGAAATTTTAATCAACACAACTAATGATTGATTTAAATTAAAATGCTGAATCGATTTTGGTTAAAACACCAAAAATCTCGTTTTAAAGTTGAACAGATATTCGGTTTTTTGTGTTGTGTTTCATTTGGCCATGGTGCTTACTCTTTTTTATACAGCCACACCAATAATAAAGTAAAAAAAGAAAAGAAAAAAAGAGAGTAAATAGTCAAGATTTTCTTTGGTCTATTTTGGATAGTTTCATTTATTTGACCTCATCTTTGATTTGTCATAAATTATATGAGATCAAAAAAGCTTAGTGAATATACATTTATTTACGTTGAGATACAACTTGTCAATAATGCAAGATTTTCTTGAGATATGTTAGCCAATTTCACAATCTTATATTTTTAAATATATATTTATATATTTCCTTATGAAATTAAAAATGGATCTACTTATCTAACATCTAATCCCTTATATATACAGAATCGGTCATTGCTCTAAACCTAACAAAAAAAAAAATCTTTCTTCACCCCGGAAAGAGCAAAATAATGTCTGCCATCAAATTTCGGCTTGCGTTTCTTCTCTTAGCTTTTTGTCTTCTTTCTTCTCAATGCCTTGCTAAACTACCATATGGTAACATTTTCTTTATGTGTGTGGGGGTGATTTTAGTTGTTTATTTATGTATTTTATAAACTCTATAAAAAAATAATGCTAGATAAATTGAGTTGATTCTTATTCTTTTTGTTGTTTTCAGGGAAATGTAACTACAAAGGTCATTGCAACACTGATAATGACTGCAAAACCATATGCACAGCTCCAGGGGAAGATCCTACTTTTCTAATGTGCATTAAAAACCCTCCTTGGTACAAATGTTGTTGTGCAGTTTGAATTTTAACTTTGTTTTGATCTAAATCGATGGATCTATATATTTTGTATCATCACCCATCATAAGATTTCACATTAATAAAATAAAGTAAATAGGCATGGAAGTAGTGATGTAATCGTGTATGGTTTAGTTGGTTACTAAAAATATTAACCAAGCTTATTCTACCATCAAATTATGTGTCAATATATTAAACAAAAACAACAGTAATAATTTGTAACAGTGCTTCTGATTTATTTTAATATATATGAAACATAGTAGATAACAGAATAATACCCATGCTTTATAATTACATTTTTTTTTTCCAAAAGCATTAGTGAAGATGAACACTTATTCGCAAAACAAAATAATTGTGCGTATGGACTCAACATTTGATATAGGAGAAACAACATTTGAAAAAAAGAAAAAAAAGTGTATATTTATTTGGAATAAGAGAAACAATACAACACAAGTCTCCGAACTGACGACCCAGGTACTTGGGATAGGCCACTAGACCAAACAAATTATTCAACTTATGTCAAATAATAGTTATTATATATACTGAAAAGCACTTGTTGCTAGTCAAAGTGTGTATAACATTCAACACCCCAAAGAGGAAAAGATGTATGTAATGTAATAATGTAAACCCTTAAAAATAAAAAATTGTGGATTAATTGATTTTGTGATCCAATTTTAAATACTTATTTGTTAAAAGTGTCTTATTTAACACACTCATTTGTTTTAAAAAAATAAATTAATTATTTTACATATCTATTAAAAGTGTCACCATTGAACATACTCTTATATGTTAGTAAATAACACACGATTTTTTTTTATATTAATGTTTAATTTTAATGTATCAATTAAAATGGGTTATAAGTATCATTTTAAGAAAATGATCTCAACAAAATCAGTTAACACACGGTTTCTTTAATGTTCATTTTTGGTAAAAAAATCTTCAAATTGTTTTTATAAAAGGAAATTTGTTATACTATAGGACTAGTTAACTAATAAAGTAATAAAACAAAACTCGTATATAGTAGTAGTTTCATCTTTGAAGTTACACATGACTTATACTGTATTTACCAATCACGCTTTTATTTAGTCTTACAATCGTGGCCTTAGCTGTTCTTTTTCTTTCTCCATCTCTCTCTATCTCTCTCTCTCTCTCTTTATTTTATCTAACAGTCAAATGGTTCATTGGTTTGTCTTGGGTAGTTTCTCTTTGTTTGACTTGATCTTTGAATTGCCGTAGATGGCATAAGATGTAAAACGTTTAATTAATTCAATTATTTTATATTTAAATTTGGATATTTGTTGAAGATAATATGGCATCTATAATTAATACAAGATTTTCATGGGATATATTGATAAATTTTTGTAATCTGATTTTAAAAAATAACATAAATAAGGATGGATTTACACAATTTTTAAAATCCTGGAAAAATACAATGTATATATATAGCTTTTATTTAAATTTGATGAATATAACTAATGCAAGATATTCTTGAGATATGTTAGCCAATTTTGCAATCTATTTTTTTAGATATATATTTATATTTTTATATGAAAAAATTAAAGTGTATCTACCAATCTATACCATCTAATCCCTTATATATACAGAGATGACTATTGCTCTAAACCTAACAAAAAAACTATTTTTTTAAAGAGCTAAACAATGTCTGCACAAAAATTCCAACTTGCGTTTTTGCTTTTAACTTTTTGTGTTCTTTCTTCTCAAATCATTGCTAAACCAATTGGTAATATTTTATTTATGTGTGTGTGACTGTAGTTGTTTTTTTTTTAATTAAAACTCCTATAAGAAATAATGCTAGATAAATTGAGTTAATTTTTATTCTTTTTGTTTTCAGGGAAATGTAACTACAAAGGTCCTTGCAAAACTGATAATGACTGCAAGACCATATGCACAGGTCCAGGGGAAGATCCTACTTTTCTAATGTGCATTAAAAACCCTCCATGGTACAAATGCTGTTGTGCACCACGTCTCGACCCTCCAATTAAAAACTTATTTTGATCTACATCCATATGTATTTTGTATCATCACCTATCATAAGATTTTACATGAATAAAAATTAACTATTATCCGGATCAAAATTAACATATATTGATGTTTTTGGATCAAAATCTTCATTTTTAAATAAAACTAAATAAATAACATGACCTTGCTTATGCATTTTTTAAGTCAACAATCATATATGGGTTCTTTGGTTTTCTTTTGGTAATTTTTTTTTTTTTTTACTTTTCATCTTTGGTTTGTTCTAAATAATCTTCCTAAAACTAAAAAAATATCACTAATTTTATTTATTATTTAAATTTGGATATTTGTTATCGAGAATATGGCTATACTTAATACAACAAGATTTTCAAGAGATATGTATGCAATATTGGTTTTTGGGGTAGTGTATATATCTTTTTTGGAAAATAAAGTAAATAGGCATGGAAGTAGTGATCTGGTAATCATTTAATCCTTTTTATAAAGGGCGATGGCCATTTGCTTTTTCTCTAAAACCAAGAAGAAGAAGAAACCAAAAACCAATCATCATCAAAATTGAGATACAGAGACAAAATTTTCAATTTGTTTTTCTGCTGTTTTAGTTAAGTTGTCTTCTTATTTCAACGGCCTAAGTCACTATATTATATACTTACTTTTACGAGTAAAAGAACAAAACATATGCAGAATCAGAGCCAGAGGATACGTACATATGTGGTCGACAGGTTTAAAAAGCTCTCAGAATTTACAAGAGTTAAAAAGACCTACAAGTTCTGAATATATATTTCCATAAGAGTAAGTTTTGCTTAAAAAGCGTGAAAGATTGAGACTTTGTTGAGACTTAGAGAGTCTAGATCATTGTACATTGTAATCCATTTTAAGGACCTCAAGGTCATCAAGGAAAAGTAATTAGAAAGGCCTCTTATATAAAGGGTTCCGGGGGATGCCCATTAGGCACTAATAGAGAGAGAAAAAAACACCCAAAAATTATCGTCAGCAAAAAAATAATGTCATCCCAAAGATTTCTATTTGTTTTTCTTCTCCTAATTAGTATTCTTCTTTCTTCTCAGTCAACTGGTAAATAGTAAGATCATATTCCTTTATTTCTTCTTCATATTGAAAAAAACGAATGCTGAAATATGAGTTAACTGAGAGTTTTTTTTCTTTATTTACATAGTTTTTGCAGCAAAATGTCACTACAAAGGCCCTTGTACAACTAAAGAAGACTGCAGAAGCATATGCACAGGTCCGGAAGAAGACCCATCTTTTCTATTGTGCTTATTTAACCCTCCAGTTGCTAACAAATGTTGTTGTAAATGGTCTAGAGAAAGATAGTCTTGTTTAAGAATGATATAATCAATATATTTGTAGCAGCATCACCAATCATAAAATTTAAAAATTAATAAAAAACAATGTTTTGATCATTAAATTTGTTACCTCTAGAAGTATGATTCTTCAGTTACGTGATCAAAACGGTCAGTCATCTACTATAACGTCAATCACATTAAGTCATAATTTTCATCACCATGCATCTATCGATTGCAAGAGAATTAACTCTCATCATTTACATATAATTTCATTAACTATGAGCCACAAATCTCGTTTTTGTTTACTGAACATATATAATATATTGCGGAGAAAGATCCGACGTTGAAAGATATGATGAGATTTAAATAATATATAAGGAATTAAGGTCAATCCGTTCATTGCTAATTGACATATACTACAGTTTTGTAACCGTTGAAAACGAAATAAAACAGCAGTATAGTCAACAGTCATGATTCTTTTATTATGACCTCATCTTTGATTTGATGATGTCACAACAAAAAGCTTAATGAATATAGCTTTGATATAAATTTGGTGTATACAATTAATACAATATATTCTTTGAGATATGTTAGACAATTCTGCTATCTGATTATTTTAGATTTACATTTATATTTCTTTAATAAAAAAAATACTGGATGTACAATCTAATCCTTTTTTTTTTGTCATCATACAATCTAATGCCTTATATATAGAGAGATGACCATTTGCTCTAAACCCAACCAAAATAAAGCTATCCTCACCAGAATCTACTTAGATTTTAAATTTAATAATTTGACTTGGTTAAAGCAAAGTGACTTCAGTGACTGATTAACCCGGTTTAAGGTTAATCAATTTTTGCGACGTTGATTTGGTCTACATCCATATATTTTGTATCATCACCTATAATAAGATTTCACATTAATAAAAATTAACAATTAACTATCCGGATCATTTATGTTGTTGTTGTAAAAGTATGATGATGTATGTCATCACTCATCATATATTAAACATAAAAAAACGAAAACAAAAGACTAGATAATGAAAACATATGTATGTATATTTGATATTTTACTTATATCAAAAATACATTAAGAACACATGACCTTACTTATGCTTTTTTAGTCAACAGTCATATGGGTTCGTTGGTTTTATTTTGGTAATTTTCTTTTTGTTTGATTCATATCTTTGATTTGTTCTAATTAATTTTCCTAAAACTAAAAAAAAGTAACTAATTTTTTTTTAATTAGACTTGGATATTTGTTACCAAAACTATGATTAATACTTTTTCCACTTCAGCTTCTAGAGACGCTACAGAAAGTTTTTGCCAGAAGCACATGCTTGGGACGGGTGGTTTTGGATCAGTGTACAAAGGGAAGCTGTAGAATGGAGACGTCGAGATTGTTGTGAACCTCGGTTTGGAATTCTTCCAGATTTCTTCTTCCTCCTATCCGTTGCCCCATCCTCAAGATATCCCAACTGCCCAACAATCGAAAACAGTGTATCTACTGTACGAGTGCGACCAGAATCACCTGAAAATAGAGAAACTTTGCTCTCGCACTATGAAAGTACTCAAATCCGGAAATCAAGTTCAATCCAGGTTATATCACAAAGATATTATCTTAATATCCAACGTCAAAACGTATCTTTTTTTTTTAGATGTGAATAAATTGATTAATTGTATAATTTGTTATTAATACGTCGACGAACAAACAACAGAAAATTAACTGTATTCCAAAACAACAATGATAATAATTAACACCTAAAAACAATAAAACTAGAAATAAAATAAATGTTTTGCTTGTAATTCGCTATTTTCTTCCTTATGTTTTGCTTATGTTTTATCTATTTGATTGCTTTAAAACATAATATGCAAGTTTGATGAGTATCAATTTTTGGATCATTTTGATATTTCGTGTATATACATTAACTAAATATATATGATGAATTAACTTCCATCATTTACAATTAATTGAGAGGAAGAACTAAGAAGATGATGTGTTCATTGTTAGCTTCTCTTCATCATCTTCCAAGACGAAAAGCGTCTCTGTATTCCTACACATGCCATGAGCCAGAACGACGGGCAAACCAGCCAAAACCCCGGTCATAATACCGCGGGATACATCTGTTAATAGAAATATACCAATCGTGAGGACCAACAAAACTAGCACCAAATTAGAATCATCGATCACATTGCCAAATATCACCCACGGTTCATTGTCCCGGGAGTAGACATATATCCATGCGACTATCAAGATAAAGAAGACAGAAAGGTGGACAGGTTGCCAGAGCATGCTGATGAAGATAGAAACAATGAAGATGACAATGTAGTTGGTCCGAAAGATCATGATGTTGGTTTTCATTCGTTCGGTGGCTACACTAAAGGACACATGAAGGCTAAAGGCACTACACTGGACAAGTTCAAGCCATGGCCTTTGAGAGCTAAGGCCTAGCAAGATCAATTCTTTGGCTCGTCCTAATAAGCTCCGGCTCGATGAGGTATTTGCTTGGGATGGTATAGTACCATAGGTTGTCATATTCTATCATAAGCGACAAACAGAAAGAAACAGAGAACATCAACACACGAACCTATATGGGAAAAAGAAAGTGATGGTACCTAACTTTTAAGACATAAAACTGTATGCTTGATGTTTCTGAGGTAGTCAGGTTAACCTCTCTTATTTGGGAATGTTTTATTTCAGGGCACCAGAAGAGAGGCATATACGAGTTACAATGTACTAATAATGGAAAAGGAGAGATAATCAAAGGAATCGATGGATACCCTTAAACTTGTCTTATTAAATCATTAATACTACTATGAGACTGTCATTACAAGTAGGAAAAATCAATTCTTTAACAGAGTCTATTCATCAATAGACCTCCAAAGATGGGTAGAGAACATTTAAACAACTCAAAAGTAGGATAAATGCATTCTACAGACCACGAAGTTGTTTGATATATATACAACAACTTATATCAAAAAAACACAATTTTCTTATATCAAAAAACACATTTTTACATATTATATTTGAGTTTTCTTTGGTTCTAGTATTTTTTTCTTAATATAGACAAAACCGTTTAGTATTTGTTATTAATTATGTAGTTTATAAAAAAAAAATCATAAATATATAGATTTTAAAGTAATTAACCAAAAATGAAAATTTTAAAATATTTAAAGGAAAGTGGCAGATTTTTAGAAAAATGGAATGAATATAGCAAAATTTGTAATAATCCCAAAAGTATATCTAAACCAGGGTATTTGTTGCAGTGAATATGGATATAATTAAATTTAAGATTTTCACAATTACTATGTTGATATATTTTTGCAATATAATATTTTATATTTAATTGATTCTTTACATAGGAATGTGGTGCACAAAAAAGAAGAAGAAGATGAATAGATGCAATGCAAAGGATGTAGTCCCTTATATAAAGGGTTCCGGGAGGATGACCATTTAGGCACTAATAGATAGAAAAAAACAGCCAAAAATTATCTTCACCAAAAAAATAATGTCATCCCAAAGATTTCTATTTGTTTTTCTTCTCCTAATTAGTATTCTTCTTTCTTCTCAGTCAACTGGTAAATAATAAGATCATATTCCTCTATTTCTTCTTCATATTGAAAAAAACGAATGCTAAAATAAAATGAGTTAATTGAGAGTTTTTTTTTACATAGTTTTTGCAGCAAAATGTCACTACAAAGGCCCTTGTACAACTAAAGAAGACTGCAGAAGCATATGCACAGGTCCGGGAGAAGACCCAACTTTTCTATTATGCTTATTTAACCCTCCAGTTGCTAACAAATGTTGTTGTAAATGGACAAGAGAAATATAGTCTTGTTTAAGAATGATATAATCAATATTTTTGTAGCAGCATCACCGATCATAAAATTTAAAAATTAATAAAAACAGTGTTTTGATCATCACCAATCATAATTTCATTAACTATGAGCCACAAATCTCGATAGTTAATGAAATTATATGTAAATGATGAGAGTTAATTCTCATGCAATCGATAGATGCATGGTGATGAAAATTATGACTTTATGTGATTGACGTTATAGTAGATGACTAATCATTTTGATCACGTAATCGAAGAACCATACTTCTAGAGGTAACAAATTTAATGATCAAAACAACGTTTTTATTAACTCTCGTTTTTAACAATTACGAAATTGTTATATGGTATGCGTAGACAACATTTAAACAACTCAAAACTAGGATACATGCATTCTACAGAACACGAAGTTTGGTATATATACCAGTGAACCGGCATAAAGGATGCACATTCGGAGATATATCTTTGATCACAGTCTCTGATAGCCTAAAATCGTCACCTTCACTGGCTGCTAGCATCTGAAGCAATAGCCTCACCGCGATAAACTCTCCATGGTCCTCGATAGAATACTGGCTTCATCAGAGGCACTGTTTTCCCCGGGTGCTCTTCCCAAAACTTCTCCTGTTTACAGAGTAAAGTAACATAAAGTTTATACTTAAAAAAAAAAGAGAGGATAATCTTATTCTAACATAAAAAAGTGTAAGAAACACATTGGCAAGAATTCAATACCTACAGAACAATGGGTTACTACTTTCATTTACTTCAACTTCTGACAGATTCATTAGATACCAATCAAGACGTAAAAGCTTATAACGTATTCCAAAAACTTATAATGTACAAGAGATCATCATCAACAAAAGTATTGATCCAATTTCATCACATTTTGAACCCTAGCATTGCCAATCATGAGAATCAGAGACGAACCTACAAATCTAATAACAATTCCGGGACTACTACGAATCTTACCTTGTAGAGCTGCTCTGTAACTGCAGCGCCGATGACGCCGGTGTAAAAGGCGGCGACATAGATAGTAATCAACGCCGTGAAGGTTTTTGGTCGACGGTAAGGTTCGATCATTTCCCAAACAGCAAATCTCTCGAACTTGTTGTACTTGTAATCAGCGTATTTCCTCCATAGTTGGCTCCACACTCCTCCTTGCATCTCTCAAACCTTCGCCAAATTTTGGATTTAGCTGTTTCAAAAGGCAAGACTTTAAACGCATTGAGTAATACCACAAACGGATGAAAACAAACACATGAAAGAAGACAACACAAACACAAATAATTAACACAAGAAAGCCCACCTTCTCGTTATTTCTATAGCATGCATCAAGTTTCAAGCTTTGGATTTAAAAGCATAGAGTATTCCAACCACAGAGAGGCACCATAGTGCTTAGCAAAACAAGGTTTAGAAGTAACAAGTAAACCAACCTTTTAATTCTGATTCCTTAGACTCTTTTGAATCAGCTGTTGAAATCCTGAAATCACAGAACAAGAAGAAATCAAAATAAGTAATAAAAAGAAGGCTCACTATTCAAACATCCAAGACTGATGCAATGAGTAATAAAATCCAAACTTTCATCATTCCAATAAACAAACACTCATCTCAGCCAAATACATTCAAGCTCTAATTTGAATATGGCCAAGGAGATTGTGGAAGTAGAAGATGATCAGTGTGAAGCAAATGAAACGATTGATTGGTGAGACAAAAGACCCAGAAAAAACAAATGCTTTGTACACAGAAGACAAACCTGGTCTTATCAATATCTCGATGAAACCAATGAATATGAAGAGAAATCACCAAAATCCAAAACCTCTCTCAATGCCAACGCCAAGAACTAAGAACCAGAGCAGCGAGTTGCGAGAAGTGAATATACAGATTCGGAGACTTACGGACAAGCAGAGGAGAATCGAACAAGGGAATCAGAAATAAATTAGAAACCAATCTAATTTTTCCCCAAAATTAAAAACCCTAGATTTTTCTAAAGTCGAGCATGAGTGCATGACTATTGTCCAATGATCTTTGTCGATTATGCCCGCAAATAAAATTGGTCTTTGGTTCGATTGGACCGTTTTTATTTTTGGCGTGCTCATAACCATTTGGACTGGAATATTCCACAAACCACTTCAGACTTGGCAAAGTACAAGTTAGCATGATTCTTATGAATTTTGTAACCACTATGTTATCATCACAGCACATGATTCTTGTACTTATTTGTGCTATCACCATCGTTCGTGAAATTGAGAAACTTAAGAGATTTACCAACCAAAACAATGCAACTCCAGAGTTATCTAATATCACACATGCATATACATCAATAAGATTTTGCTTTAAAGCAATAGAGACCAGTAGTAGTGAGAATACATTTGCAATCCACTATTAGCAGAAGAATAGTAACCGGCTTCAGGAAGTATTCTTTTACACCAAAAAATATGACAGATATACAGAACTTTAAGCTGAGTATTTGCTTGAGCAACCAAAGATTGTTACAGTAGTAAAAATCTAAAAGTCTGGCACTTCAACTTGACCCAGCTGGTTTGGCTAAGGTTAATCCTTCAGGTACTTTGGATGGACCGAGGCTGCAACGATCGGTATTGTGTAGTTGAATGGCATCTTTTATCTTCTGAAACTGAAGAACACACAAATATTCAAAGATGATGATGTTAAAATAGTAATCAGAGACATACCTAAATGCATTCAACAAGTTTTGACCTATCAAAAAGGTTTGCAAAGGGATTCTAATATATGATAAGATCCTATTGAAAAACATAACACCAAAGCAGTTCTCTAAGTTTGAGGCTAGTCATAGAAAAGACTGAAACCGAATAGCTTTCTTTACCTTAGCAAGAGAACATGAGAAGGACTCAAGCTGGCCATCAGCTCCTCGGTAAAAGTGGAAATAAGGAAGCACTCTCACGTTCAAACTCTTGCACATTGGTTTATTCTCATCAAAGTTTACTTTGAGAAACACTATATCGGGATGTTCCACCGCTGTCTTGCAAAGCTGAAAAGATTTTTAAAAAGACACAAGAGACATTTCAAATTATCACAGAATCACAAAAGATAAATCAAACTCGTATAGTTTCATCGAACAGATAAGTCACAGAGGTAAACATTGCAACTAACCTTTGGGAACAATGCTCTGCAAGAAGCACACCAAGTTCCATAAAACTCTACAATGACTAATCTTTCGCCCGCTCCGCTTAAAGCGCTCAAGAATTCTTCAGTAGAATGAATGTCAACCATGTTTGGAGCATTCCTCTCCCACCATTTTGGTGGCTCTGTCTCTGCTACATTTTCATCTACCTAAACCACAAACACACGTAAGAAACTTAAATAATGGCCTAAAGCATCATCATCTAACTGAATCAATCCATAGCATCACAGTACCCTAAAGAAAAAATTAAACTTTAGACTACTTTCTAATCATTTGAAATGTGATGAGATTCTATAGCATAATATTACAGTACCAGGAATGAAAGATTCAAAAACAGGTAAAGAACATAACTTTAGCAGAAAAATCACAATTCACATTTGAAGCTCTCTAGCTAAAGGACATACAAATCAAATTGAATAACAGCAAAGTCAGAAACTGGTTCGAGAGTCGATCAATTTTCAAAAGGGTATTCGAATTTACGGAGAGAATCAGCTCAAAGCCAAGACATTTGTACCTTGACACGAACCACATGGCTCTTGGGTCGTCTAAGGGGGATATGGCTTCCGAGACCAGAATATGGGTGGTAATGAGAAGACGAGCACGAGGGAGAAGATGAGAGTAGACGCAATCTCTTGTCGGAATTCAGATTCGAATTTGGAGGTAAGCAAGGTTGCAGAGGATTAAGAGCGGTGGCAAAGGATGTGAATGAGGAGGATACGCGAAGAGCCTGAACCGACGTCGTCGTTAATCGCACAACTCCAGCCATCTAAAATTCACTAAACAGGATTGTTCTTGGCTGTCTTCTCCGAGAGATCCTCCGAAAAGAAGATCAGAAACTGTCTGGTTCAGATTCCAGTGATATTTCTCTCCAAAATATACATAGACGCGAATTCAACAGAAACTAGCGTTTTAAACCGCCGTCATCCACTTGGCGTTTTGTAGCTACGTTAGCGTTGAAAAGTAAAAACGCGTTTTTGTTTCTCCGTTAGAATCGTGTTTTAACAAGGAACGCGGAACAGTAATGGTTTATGGGGAAGCTTTCTTTTACGCTCACACTCTCACACACACACATGAAAGTTATGACTTAAATGCCATTTATGTTTATTTGTTATTTGGGCCCCGACTTGAATTGATGTACAACACACAGAGAAATCTAAAGCAAAATCAAATCTATTTGGTTTTCATTTGATTCACATTCACAAAATTTGGTTTAACAAGTTTTCTAATTTGGATGAAAATGTATGTTACCACAGAAAACAATGAGTCAGCAACTACAAGATCATTTTGACAAAAGATTGAGTATCCCGATTGTGTTTCTAAGTATGAAAGTACAAAGCTTCCAATCTTGGCATCAAATGTCAAGACAAGTTTTAACGATTACATAATCCATACTATTACAATAAGTTTAGTACAACTTCTTGTTGAAATCATACAGAAACAGCATACAGATCAAAACGCTTAAAAGAGTCGAACAGGTCAGACGCTTTTTATGTTTTGACAACGAAGTCTAGACTGCCTGTTATTGACAGAAGAATGAACTTACCATACTTTGCTAAACGTGTGGCAAGAGAACGTGTGAAGGAAACTCATCAGATCCATTGTTTGGTGCAGCCTTTAGTCCTAGAATCGAACTGATCACGTTGTATATCTGAACATTCTCAAAAGAAGGTACTTTCCTTCCTTTTGAGAACATAGGACCGTGTCCGATGAATATAGTTCTCATCGAAAAGAAGGCATTGTCATACCCATGAGCTCCACCACATTCCTTAGCTTTACTTTTCTTCTGCTCCACCTTGAATCCCTCATCCACTAGTCCTATGATAGGCGGGATCCGGTCACTGTTTGCGTAATGCAGCCTGCTAGGTAAATCCTCTTTGAGATAAACCTTCAAATACTTCCCATTCTCTACTTTACCAGAGCTCAACCCTTCGTTTATCTTAGCAACTATATCCGCTGCATCGTGCCCTGAAGGAGGTTGAATCGCTAACAACGGTGTGTAGTAGTGAACCCAACTACTAGGAATTTTTATCCAAGGAGCTAAATCATCCAGAACAACCACCTTTTTATCACAAGTTCCAACCATTCCATGATCACCAACCATAATCATAGTCACATCCTCAAAAATCCCTCTTTTTTCTAACCCATCGATTAATCTTCCTATTAACCTATCAATGTTAACTACAGCTTCCGTGATCTGAGGATCATCAGGGCCAACTTGGTGACCTTGGTGATCAGGATCTTCAAAGTAAAGCGTCATGAAACTAGGAATCTCGCTACTAGGCAAATCGAAATAGCTCAAGATAGTATCAACCCTATCATCAAAAGGAACCGAGCCATTGTAATTTTGACAGAAACCTTTAGGACAATTCCAAGAGCCTTTGTGTACCTCAGAGCCAGGCCAGAAGTAAGTAGCAGCCTTAAGACCTTGGTTCACTACTGTCTCCCACAATGGCTCACCTAACCACCACTTTGGTTCGTGGCTAGCCATTGTGAAGGCGTCCCCTGTTACTGGATCAACGAAATAGTTGTTGATGATTCCATGATAAGCTGGGTATAGACCTGTGACGATAGAGTAATGGTTAGGGAAAGTTAATGTCGGATAAACTGGAATGAGACCCGTCTCGGCTTCGGTTCCGTTGGCGATTAATCTGTGGATGCTCGGCAAATGGGTCTTGAATTGGTACCCGAAACGAAACCCATCCGAGGAAATCAAAAGAACCACAGGCTTGTCGAGTTTTTTGAGTGGACGAGCAACGGATCTGTCGAAAGCAGGTGACTTTGAGACTTGGTTTAAGGAAAGGACGGGTTTTTGGGAAGAGAAGAAGAGGAATGCGAAAGCTGAAGCCGCGGATAGAGCTACGCAGGTGACGAGAAGGAGAGATGTGAAGATGAAGCAGCTTGAGATGCTCTTAGTGGAACAATCAGTAGTATCGGAGGAAGTTGTGTGATTGTTGAGAAGTGCGATTGATTGGCTTGGTGGGTCTTGGTCGTCTTCTGCTGATTTGTTTTTTTTCGCTGATAATGTGTCGCCTGACATCATTGCTTCTCTCTTCTCCTTAACCAATCGGTCTGATGCTTCTTCTTCTCAAATTATAGAAAGTTGTAAACTTTTTTGTTCAGATCTTTTGATTAAGTTAAAGTTACAGAGAAGAAACACAACGCAATGATACGTGAGTTTTAGCACTTGGAGTCGTTTGGTAGCGACTTCCACATTACGTTTTCGATGGATCTGAATCTGCCACGTAAGTCCACTCAACAGCTCGGTGAGCAAAAAAATTTAGGGCTTGTGTACGCCGTCGTTTGGTATGTCCACCACAATTTCCTATATTTCAAAGGAGTAGTGGCAATGGCGTACGGCGTCGCATACGGTATTTATAGCTTTGGGGAAGCTCCCTACAACGATTCTGCGACGCCCTGTCATATCAACTCTGCCACACCTTCTCTAACTCGCCGACTCCTGTCAACGTATTCGAGGTCAATACTCTCTTTATCAGGTTATCAGTGTGCGTATTTACACAAAAAATTTCCCAATTTGCGTGTTTGAATGCAACCCATGAATCCAAGATGCTTTACTACAAACTCGATTCAGATGAAATTTGGTATCTCCATGAATCTCTGTATTGCTCATAGGTGTATGTATTTGCGACAGTGTATGATGTAGTGGAAGTTGTCTATTTGCCAATGCCATATAGATAAAGGAATTTAAGATGTGAAACTAGGATTCTTGCTCAAAACGTGATAGTTTATCAAATAAGATCCCCCATTCCTCCTCCTGGTTCACCAAACGGGTATCCTTTTTTCCAATTAGGTCTTGTAATTGGTCTGATTAAGTTTGAGCCCTCCCAATATATGTATGAGTGTGTGGTGGTGTTATCTACTGGGAACGGACTGGAGACTCTGATGAGACATGCTTGACCTATGTTGTTGCAACTGGTCTTAATAAACAGTTTGTTTCTTGAAAATTGGTCTAGGATGCCAGCAGTCTGATTAAGATAATCTGACAATTTTTCTCAATGTGTCGAGATTTTGCCTCATGTGTTTTGATCTCAGAAATGTTAGTTGAAGTGTACCTCTCCTTCATTAGTTTGCAAAGTTAAATTGACTTGCTCCTCTTCTCTGCTCTAACCTCCTCAAGACAATGTATGAAAGGGTTAAGTACTTGGGAATTCGCTTAGGCATTGAAAGATTATATGTAGTTTGTTATGAAATTCAAGTTCTTGCGGAAAAGGTAATTTTATATATTATATGTTTTCTCCCTCAGATCTTTAAGTTTATTATTTTTGTGTTACTAAAAGTTGAGTTATGAGATTATGGTTCTTGGCGTAGTTGTAGTTGCAGCCTGATAGAGATAAGTTCCAATGGAAAAGCTCCTAAGTTAGATACATATATTTGTTTAAATATTTGAACATATTTTAATCAGAGTTTGTCTGTCGGCTTTGCGCTGTTAATCTATGTAGAAGTGTGATAGGAAGTATCGAAACAGCTCAGATTATAGTTAGTATCTCTGTCTCTCTCTCTGAAATTTCTTCAGTTTCTCAACTGTAATACTAATTATAACTTGCTGTTCTGTAGCAAATTGCAGGTGGAATGGCATTATTCTTAATCAAGAAAAACAACAACTTGATATCCGAGAGTCATGAAGAATTATCAAACTGCTTCAAACCAAAAGACATATGGAACGTATATCGTTCTTACATTTTCATCATTTGGTTTAAGCAGGTTGATAACTCTTTTTGTCTCTCGAAACCGTACCAGTTTCCTCACTAATATCATATCAGAAACTGATTGATTCCACGAAGAGCTCATCAGCTGCTGAAGCTGAAGTAATCGCTTAAGCATTTACTTGGCTAGAGCTCGATTATTTTTTTTCACTTATTTTTTTGTTCAGCATTTCCATCACTTCCGTTGGTATACATACTGAAAATTTTAACTATGACTTGCTTTTTGGAACATGTGCAGGTGGAATTTATATTGACGATTCTGACATAGGAAAATCTTGCAAAGGGTTATTTGGTTCACAAGAGCAAAGTGGTGGTATTTAGTAAGTATGATCCTTTCCTTATTCTAACTGGAACCGGTTTAGAGTATCATTTGTTAGTTCTGGGTCTTATGGTCGTTGTTTCTGTATCAAAGACACCCTGTTAGTGTTTACTATACTCACTTACTTTTTTAGTATGCTCACTTACTCTCACTCATTTCAGTTCTTTAGTGATAGCATGATAGACTGATTTGGTTCAGGTGAATGCATATTTTGGTTGGTTACTGTAATCTATTAGGTAATTCTAAACACGTATCTAATAAAAGGCCTGATTAAATCAGTTCCGGTCTAGTATTTAACTATTTATTCAGTGTTAAATTATTAACAATAGAATCATTCCTGGTAGCAACTTGTTTGTTGTGTAGCACGTTCTTGATGATTTCGAGGTTAATACCGTGACATGCACATGTCAGTCTTACATTTTTGGCCGAGCTACTTGAGCTTTTAAACTTAACCAAGAAAATCGAATTTTGATATATGACCTTCCTGATCCACTGACAACATTAAATCTTTTAATCAAGCTCCTCTACGCAATAGAGTCACATGGTTTTTAGGTTTTCTGAAAAGGAGTAATATATTTATTATTTATGTTAGTATTGTCTTCATCAAAAAAGTTCTGTTCTTATTCCTGTGCTAGTGTTTTGCGACTTTGGTTAATGATAATACAATTCTTCTATAACCTATTTCTGTGCAAGTATTGTGGTATTTGAGTCATGTTGCTTTTGCTGTTATCATCAAAAATTAACATATAGGCTAGCTCGTTTTCTCTTACTCTTATTCATTTGATGGTACATGTTGATTTAAAACAAAAGGTAGAATGCATCGGAAACTAGAAACCACAGCAGTTTCTGCTGAAACAAACTTGAAAGACACTCACAGACTAAAGTTAGTTTCATTCTACTTGCGCTAAGGGCAAGAGAAGGCTACGAGTAAACAAAGAAGAACCATTGTTCGGAGCTGGTTGGAGTCCAAGAATCTCTGCAACAGCATTGTAGACCTGAACATTCTCAAACGACGGCACTTTCGTTCCTCTCCTAAACCTTGGACCATATCCAATAAAGATAGATCTCATGGAGAAGAACATGTTGTCGTATCCATGAGTTCCAGAACATTCTTGAACGTATGTTCTGTTCTGTTTGACCATTAGACCTTCTCCTACCATTCCTATGATCGGTGGAATCCTGGAACTATCGGAATAATGAAGCCTTTCTGGTAAATTCTCCTTCAAGTAAACCTGCAAAAACTCTCCGTTGTTTACTTTCCCTGAGCTTAAAGCTTCGTTCATCTTGGCCACGAGCTCCGCGTTCTTCTTGCCTGGATTCTTTACATCTTTACCCCAGCGTGGATTCATTGCTAGCACCGGGCTATAATCCTGGATCCAATCCACAGGCACTTTGATCCAGTCCGCTAAATCGTCAATGTAAATCACTTTCTTGTCACAGTTAGTAGCCATTCCGTGATCACCAAGCAATATCACATGAACATCACTAAAAACCTTTCTCTTCTTCAATCCCTTGATGACCCTACCGATCATTCTATCGACCTTTGAAACGGCTTCAGTAACCCGAGGATCATCCGGGCCGTATTCATGGCCCTGTATGTCCGGTTCATCGAAATACAACGCCATGAAATCCGGGATCTCGCTCTCTGGTAGATCGAAATAGTTCAAGATCGTATCGACTCTTTCTTCAAGAGGAACCGAAACATTGTAAGGAGCTTTACAAAAACCTTTTGGGCAGTTCCAAGAGCCTTTGTGGACATCAGCACCTGGCCAAAAGTAAGTCGCAGCCTTGAGCCCTTGGTTCACGGCGGTCACCCACAACGGCTCACCTAACCACCATTTGGGGTTAAGGTTCCTGTTGAATAGTTCTCCGCTTACTGGATCAGTAAATTTGTTCATGATTACACCGTGGGAAGCAGGGTAGAGTCCGGTGGCGATTGAATAATGGTTCGGGAACGTCATGGAGGGGAAAACCGGAATCAAACCGGTCTTAGCTTCGGTTCCTCTTGATATGAGCAGGTCGATGTTTGGTGTCTCCGTCTTGAATTGATAACCGAACCGGAAACCATCGCAGGAGATTAACAGAACCACCGGTTTGTTGAGCTTCTTGGAAGGTTGGGGTCCCCTAGAGTCGAAACCATCGGCAGTAACGGCTACGACGAGAAGGATGAGAAAAGTAACGATCAGAGATAACTTGCGCAAGGAGTAACCGGAAAAACCCGAACGGCTAGGTTTACTCTTAGCCATTGAGAGAGAAAGTAGTGATAGTTAGTAGTTAGAGTTCAACAACGTACGTTCACGTTCTTTATAGAATCGCTCGTGTTACTAACTTACTAGTGAGAGTGTGTCGTCTTGACCGGTCTTGTCGGCAGGTGATTGTTTATTAGTATCTCAAATCATTAATTGTATTTTCAATACTATATAGTACTGTAGTATGATTTAAAACACTTTCTTATACGAATTAAAGGTTCAATTCTGAAATGTCGTTCAGATTTCTGATTTCACCCACGTTTTCACGAATCCCAATTCGTATCTTTAATACATATTGAGATATTCGAGTAAGATCGATTCCGGATATCTCTCATTATATAGTATTTGATGAGTGTATGGCTCAGTGGTCCTGATTAGATTCTTGAGTATCCCCTACTTAATATAAACTTACATTGTAGGCTGGCTCAACATGAACGTACAATTTTGTTCATGTATTTGGGCCCTAAAACATGACGCCAGTTTCTGTTAAACATAATTTGGATCTTGTGGAAAAGCTTCCCATGCCTAAAACCGATACTGCTATAATGTGTCTCACTGTGTTGACTCTTGAGACAACTTAGATTATGAGAAAACCCTCGTCCAAGTACTTGAACCAACCTTTGTTTGTCTAAAACCTCTCTTTTCAAATCAAAATTACCTCCAAAGTAGTAAAGAGATTTACTTTTAAAAAGAAATTGTGGAAAACCAACCTCTATTCCTATTGATGCTTGGGTTTGCTCAAGAGGTACAACCTCAGTTTCTTTCACATGGTTTACTAACCAAACAGCAGATATCAAAAGTTTCAGATAAATTATTTATATCAACTAGTGTTGTCTTTCCCAATCTTATCTCCCAAAATTTAATATGGCCCAAATACTATCAACCAGACTTCTTCCCTATTGAATCTTAACTTTAATGTACGTAGGAGATATATTATGATTTCCTAAAGTGGACTTTTTAGGGGGTTGAGAGTTACATCTGACTTACTACGTTACATGAAAATTAATAATCATATATTTGAGAATTGCATATGTGTATGATGTTAAAAACAGAGAGTAACACGTCATACATTACATGATAAATATTATAATAAGTGTCAAATGATTCGACTGTATTAATGTTATCGTGGCTCCAAGACGAAACCTGATTTATTTGAAAACATTAAGGGTCACATTTTCGTGATTTCAAGATAAATTAAGAACATCACAACATGGAGAGCACATAGATTAGTTATTCATTTATCACCTTACGTTTTATTCATTAGCTTAGGAATTTTTTGCTTAACCATTATTTTATTTCTCTTGTTGCTCCAAAAGGCAAGAGAATGCTCCGGGGGAACAAAGAAGAACCATTGTTCGGTGCTGGTCGTAGTCCAAGAATCTCAGCAACGATGTTATAGATCTGCACGTTCTCAAACGATGGCACTTTCTTTCCTCTGCTAAACCTAGAACCATGTCCGACAAATATACTCCTCATCGAGAAGAGCGCGTTGTCGTAACCATGGTCTCCGTAGCAAACTTGAGCATTTGTTCTATTCTGCCTTACTATAAGACCTTCTCCGACCATTCCAATGATCGGTGGAATACGATAACTCTCGGAATAATGAAGTCTTTCCGGTAGTTTCTCCTTCAAGTAAACCTTCAAAAATTCTCCATTCTTTACTTTACCTGAGCTCAAAGCTTCGTTCATCTTTGCCACGACTTCTGCGTTCTTCTCGCCTTGATTCTCGACATTTTTACCCCATTTCGGACTGATTGCAAGCACCGGGCTGTAAGATTGGATCCAAGCCGCAGGTATCTTGATCCAATCTGCTAAATCATCAATGTAAATCGCTTTCTCGTCACACTCACAGTTGGTCACCATTCCGTGGTCACCAAGCAATATCACATGAACCTCATCAAAGATCTCCCTCTTCTCCAGCCCCTTAATCACCCTACCAATCATTTTATCAACCCTTGAAACTGCAACGGTGACCCGAGGATCATCAGGACCATAGTTATGACCCGATTGGTCCGGCTCATCGAAATACAGCATCAGCAAATCAGGAATATCGTCCTCAGGGAGATCAAAATGGTTCAAGACCGAATCCACCCTTTCTTCCAAAGGAACTGAAAGGTTGAAATGAGGACAATATCCTTCAGGGCAAGTCCAAGAACCTTTGGGAACTTCAGAGCCTGGCCAGAAGTAAGTCACAGCCTTGCGACCTTGGTTTGCTGCGGTTACCCATAACGGCTCACCTAACCACCATTTCGGTTGTAAGCCTTTGTTGAACACCTCTCCCGTGACCGGATCGGTAAACTTGTTCATGATTATACCGTGGTGTGCAGGGTAGAGTCCGGTCGCGATAGAGTAGTGGTTTGGAAATGTCATGGTGGGAAAAACCGGTATTAAACCGTGTTTGGCTTCAGTTCCTCTGGAAATGAGAAGGTCGATGTTTGGCGTGTCGGTTTTGAATTGGTAACCGAACCGGAAACCATCGCAAGAAATCATCAAAACCACCGGTTTGTTGAGCTTCTTGAAGGGCCAGGGACGCCAAGTTTTGGACGACGGAGAGTCAAAACCATAGGTACCGGCTGCGGTGGTGGCTAAGATGACAAGATTAAGAAAGATGAGAGAAAGTTTGGGAGACAGAACATGTTTGGTTGTCGCCATGGGAAATAATGTTTGTAATGGGTTCTTGCATGCAGCTCATGTTATTTATAGAGTGGGAGAACTTTTTTCCCTTGACGTACAGTATTTTGACTTTCATTGAAATTAACTTGGAAGTTACATTATTCGAATATATAGTGGTTGGCACATTATAGCTATAGTAGCCTAGTAAATAGATGAAATCATAATTATTTCGAGTACTTTTGTCTTTAACTAGCTAACGTCGATATTTAAATCTCAATATATATTTAGGCTACGCGTCTCGATGGGATATTGTATATATGATGAGTTGGTGAACAATAGATCATCATGCAGTACAAACAGTACATTAATTACTACTATGATTTCTGTTGTTCTTCTACTGTAGATATTTTTATAGATTGATAACAACAGAAACATCCTCACACATTCGAAGTTTTGATTACTTCGTAAAAATTTATGACCATTGTTTACAGTATAGAAGCAGACTAATTAAGAATTAGGTATATAAAGAGTCACATCAACATTATTGTCATCTGCAATCTTGAATAATATAAATTCACGTGTTTTCACCACGAGTTATATCTTTTCGTGGTGGGCTCATCCAACCAACGACTGGATGGCCTGTGTTTGATGTGGTTCTATTCCTACATGTACTTCATAATTGTAACATTAATTAGTATACGTCCATGCTAGCTTTATACGGGTTAAGAGATTTTGGGCACCAGCCTAATTAATAGAAATAAGGAGGAATGTAGCCAACATATGCATCCAGATTTGAGTTTAAAGATAAGATTTTAGATCATTTGTGGATGAATTTATTATGTATAGGCTGTAATGATTTTTTTATTTTTTTATATAATTCCCAAAAATATATTTGAAAACATATGTCCGTATTACTAGTATTTCCGTATTAATTGATTAAGAGATACATGCACGTACGTACGTGGTTTGTCCAAGAAAGGAACTCAAGTCGTAGCAACAAAAAAAAAAGAGAAGAAGAAAAATTATATAAAAGCAAAACAAAAGTCACAACGTAGGATACAAAGATTTATGCATTCATTGATCAGCTTATATATTTGTTATTCATGAGTCTACTTATCTCATCATGAGCTAAGTCTGTTTTTCTTTCTTTTCTGCTTCATTCCACTTGGGAAAATATTTTTTGAAAAATTTTCCAAAACGTCAAGGAAATGCATGTGAATAATATTTGCAACTTTGAAAAAAAAAAAAAAAAAAAAAAAAAAAAAATATTTGCAACTTTGCAGCAGAAAGAGTTGCCTTTAATAATTACAATGCCAGAGGTAGAGACAAGAGTACGAGACACATTACTATTACTATGATCTGACTATCTGACTCAGATTACCAATAACAGCACCATTACAAATTTACAATCATCCGCATGACCCGGACGTGGGAGTACTGTGGAGAACCATTGATATATGATCTTACTGACTTGAATTATCTCACGTGCGTGTTTTCTTACATCGAGATATAAGTATAAAACCTTTCGTGGATGGCCTTGGTCAGGGGCGGATCTAGAAAATTTGTTTAATGGGGGCAAAAATATAGTAAAAAACTATCAAATACTAAATTATAAAAGACATAAAATTGTCATGTAAAAACTTTAAAACATCTTACAAAACCACTCAGACGCTCATTTAACAATTGAAACATTTTTACCACATTTTCATTTGTGACATATTCAAATAATTAAAAACAAAAAAACATGTTATTAATTAAAAATTTAGAAAATTTTGAATTTATAGACTTATATTTTAAAATTTATTAATTTAAAATTTTGAATTATGTAACAAACTTCCATAAAAGCTTAACCATAGAATAAACATATAAACAATTATCACTGCAAAAACTAATATAGTCATGTATAATATAAAATCCTATATAATGTTTTCCAGGAAACATATTTATAAGCTTAAACTGATTAAATAAAATTAACTGACTAAAAAATAATGCTTATATAATATAAACGATTGTAAAAAAGGCAAGAAAATAAACTCACAAATTGATAGTTGTTAATTTGTTGTCAAACAAAGAAACCAAAGGATTAAAGAAGAAGAAAATACTAAAAAATTAGGTCTAGATTAATAAGTTTTTAATTTATATATTAATATATATTTTTTTAGTACATGGATTAATGGGTTTTCCAAAAAAAATGATGAAAAGTAGTTTTTTTTGGTAGGGACAGATTTTTTTTTATAATAAGATTTATTAATATTTTTTTTTTTTTTTTCTGCTGGCAGCTGCCCCCACCATCTTGACTGTGGGTCCGCCCCTGGCCTTGGTTGATGTCGGTATGGGTTAGAGTTTTGTATAATTTGGGGAGCAGCCAAAATTAAACGTTTAGAATCTGGTGGAATAATTTGAGTTTCGAATGCCTTTTATTACTAAGAAACAAGTTAACAACCTTGGATTGAAACTGCTCTAAAACTATTTTTCGAGTGTACTTAACTGCGGTCAAACCAAAGGCATGCATGCCTAATCCATTCATTACCTGCTTCTTCCTCTCTGGATTCTATTTCTGGCCAAGAAGCCCAAGACTGAGTATAGTATCGTATTACAACAGGAAGCCTTTTCTTTCTTATTTTTCATTTTTTAACTCATGGATTTTATGGGCCTTGTAAGCTAATGGGCTCTAAATGTAGCCCAAACGAAAATTTAAGGAAATTTTTGCCAAATCTATTTTCTTCTGTAGTTTTTCATACATTCTAAATTTCTTTTTTTTTTTGGGTAGAACATACATTCTAAATTTCTAATCTCGTACATTTCTAGTCTTGAAAAGATTGATGGTACGTATATCATGACATTATTTGAAAAAAAATGATGGACCATACTTTTAACTCGTTTTTTGTTTCTTTCATAAATAAGGCGTGATCATGTGTCTCTAGTCATATACGATATCAACACAAATAATGATTATAGTGAGAAAATTGTGATTTGTTGGTAAATGATCGTGATTTTGTTGTATGTTACAATAGTTCTAACTGATAGATTCACTAGTCGCAATCATGATTCGAAGAATAATTTGGATTTGGTGTCCATCTCATGATAAGACCATAAATCTACTGGATAGAGAATTAGAGAATATTAAAGTTTAAGGTTACAGGTAAACCGGTTAGGTTTGGAAGATTTTAATATTGCTTAGATCATGCTTGCATTTTGGAAGCACATAAAAATTCTTACATTTTTTGGAGAAAAAAATAAAAATTCTCCGTATTATTTTAGAAGGATCGGATTAAAATTCCCAACCATGACTTATTTTGATTACATCTAATTTTATGAGCATTTTAAATGGTGGAATTTCTGAGTATGATATCGGGATAATGCAATAACTTACTGTAAAATGATCCACGAACCATTGGCTTAAATAATTTTATGAGTCTGATGATTGTATGAATCATATTATGCCATATGGCACTTAACCTTAGAAACAATAAGAAAGTGGACATTTTACTATTCTTCAAAAGAATATATATGTCACATTGGGTTGTTGTAGTGATGCATTTTTTATTCACGTACGTTGTACTGATATTTGAAGAAACATTTACAGAAACATATGCAAATTCCCATTCACTACATATATAAATAAAACATCAATATAAAAAGTTATAAGCACTTTTTTTGTTGTTAAAGAAATTATGTGCATTATATGTCATAATAGAATTGTTATATGCAAAGCCACATCCATTTTTCAGAAAAAGAAAAAAAAAACGGACATGACATATTTTAGAAGTCATATTAATTAGAAAAAGACATATTAATTAGCATCAACCTTTTGAATGTTAGTGAAGGGGCAGACAAATGCAAAGAAGCCATATAAACCATCACATTTGGCCATCTCAGTGCATTTCAATATTGGACACTTCTTTTTTTAATCATCACTTTTGTTCACTTTGAGAAAATAAAATTTTAAAAGTCTACACAAATAAACGACCAAAGACCTATTGCTACCACCTAGATCCCTAGATTCCTTCTTAGCACATACTAATTTACCTTACATCTTACTTTTATTTGGCATATCTTGTTTCTTAAACAACTTTGGGTATGTGTTCAAAGATATGTGCCTCCCCAAATATATAATGTGTTACTTTAAATTAGTTAGCTAGGTCCACTTTACATAACATAATAATCACAAAAAGCTTTATAGAGGAACAACAACCAAAAGAAATTTTGATACCAATGAGATAATGTACTTAATTCACATATCACCCCCAAAGTTCAACGTATTAGCATATAAAATATAAATCATAACCGCAAACCTAAAAGGAACACATAAAATGATCATGTTAAAAAAAAAAAATGATCATGTTAAGGATGAATTAATACGAATAAATAATAATTGTTCATTTTCAAAACCGTAAGTAAACTAAACTAATTGAAGCATCAAGTAGTTTTTTTTTTTTTGCAAATAGAGTAATTCGTATGGACTTTTTGGTTTCATTTTGGGATGATTAAATATTTTTTATAATTATCAATTTTAGTGATATACATTAGTAAAAAGGTGATGAAAATGATAATCATAGCAGCTTTAGAAAAGAATTTTAGGACAAAAGTAAGAGTTAGACAGTAAAATATCGACAGATAAGCAAAAGACACAAAAATTACTCTCTGGTGGATTGATGGGTTGTTGGGTTTTCATCATAATTTTCCAAAATTTAAATGTTTTTTCTGTTTATTTTATTTTATTGATTACTAATGATTATAATTTTATCATGATTTTTAGAAAAGAGAAGGAAAAAAATTCCTTATGATCTGATGTTTTGGTCGAAAAAAAATTAATGTTACATCATTTATAGAGTTGAGGAATACATTTGGATTTGGTGAAATACGTACTTGAAAACTTTCACATTTTTATTAATTTATTTATTTTTAATTAAAAATTATTATTAAAACTGAAAATGTTTAATATCAATAGTAAAGGTTGCTAATATTTTTGTTCAACAAAATAAATATAAATAATTCAGTTGTAGCAAAAAATATAAAAAATGATAATTATGTAGGTATATGTGCAAGGAATCATAATTAAATTCCAACAAGTTTAATTATTTTACCCTGT